GGCGATTAGGTGCCATTATATTTGTTATTTGGTGTGAATTATACTATGCTTTAGACATCTACTGCCATCCTTTTGTTGCAATTCAAATAGGTGTTTCTGTTTGATTTTGTTATCAGTGGTTAAGCTCCTGTAGGAACCAAGACTACCTAAATATATACAATAACTCCCATTCACTAGCATACATATACATAAATTAGTCAGGAATGTACAATATCACTTGTCTATGGTGAAACATCTTGGTAGAGAATGTAACGGGGTTTGTTGATTAGAAGAAAGTTAAACTTAGCATGGAAAACACAAACATGAAATTCTCTCAATTTTCTTTTTCTGAAAGAAAATACCATGATTGCTTTACAGAAAACTGGAATCAAACAATATTCAAAACCTTACTAGCGATGTCTTTTCCGCTCTGAAAAAGCTTAATTTTCTGTAAGTGTGGGGCATTTCTTGGCTAGACCATCTAGCATAGACCATCTTGTATTTAAACATTTCAAAACATGCTTACTGTTAAACTTGAATTCTGTAAAATAGAAAATTATGTAGGAATCTAATACAAAACAAGAAATCCAAAAATTGCACCATAGGGAATCAAGATTGGTTAATTTATTATTATTATTAATAATTTATGATAAATTTATTAATTAATTAATTAATTAATTAATTTTCTATTTCCATATCATGTTTCAAGTAGATTCTATCAAGTGAAACAAAAAATATCTCATATACACTTTATAATCTTATTCTACTCTACCCATTCCTATAATACATAAGAAATTCCATAAGCTATAGAAGACGCCAAGAAAAGAGATGTAATGAGAGATTTTTAATTCACAGGGATCTTTCCTTCAACAAGATTCAATATTTACCAGAGGGCTTGTTCTCTTCTTTGGCGAACGTACTGTTTATGTGAGTATGTGAGAGAAAGCAACGGTTTTGAGAATTTCGACAGATCAGTTGCTAACTTAAAGTTCCCACTTCTTAAATGAGACCTCATTATTAAAACAAAAGGTCAGCGAAGTGGATGAACAAGACTTCTCGTCTTCTCAATAGACTATGGTAGTCTATTGAGAGACAATGGTTGTTTGCCATTTACCTGAAAATTCCGGAAATTTCCATCAGAATGTAAATGGTAAGACAATTTTGGCTCGACCCTAACCTGAAAATGTTCAAAGTAAACGAACTTCTTGAAAGGTAATCCAAAATTTCCATCCGAAATTTCCGGGTGGAAAATTTACTTAACATTTGCAATTCTTCGCCGCCATCTTGGAATTATGATCAGATGGAAACCTTTCTAGCTTCTTTCGGTAAATTGGGGTTTTTTGAGTTAATGGTAAATGGCCAGTCCGAGCTGAACTTAGCAACACGCATTTTTGCTTACAATTCGCACAAGCCGTTGACGAACCGGTTTCTCCGTGTAAATGGTAAACAACTAATGATTCGTTTCATCGACTAAAACGTGGAACATGAATTGTTCCTGTTTAATCCCGTTACTGATCATCTTTAGAACACGTTCTGTGAAAGGAATGACTTTGTTTGACAGGTTACGATCAAAAACACATGTATCACATGAAAACAATGCGATTGTTCCCAAACTTAGTTCAGGACTGACTACAGATTGGTCCATGATAGACACATTTTGGTTAACCTGTCAGACTTAGGAGTTTGCCAATGATAAATACTACGCTTTCCATCTGCTGGACTAACCAAAATGCTAGAGTTTCGTTATACCTTGGATTTGAGTTTATTAAAAACAAGTGCTGTTCACTGACTGATCTCCAGATTTCTGAACAATAACAAGATAAGAGCTATATCAAATGGAACCATTACGAACAACGTGTTTCTTACAAATCTGTGAGTATTTTAACATTCTTTTATGAGAAATACGGAACTCATTATGAATGTATGTTATTTTCCGTCAAATACAGATCAAACAATTTTTAAGATGCAGGAGAAATAAATTTCGGACGGTGTGTCCATGAAAACGTCCAAGCATTTTTTTAACTGTGAACACTAGGTTACCTTGTGTCACCTAAAACTGGCTAAGGTAATTTGTTCTTGGTTAGAGAGTCACACTGTGACAGAGTCACACAGCAAACCAGTCACACAGTTACAGTTAGTCAGACAGTCAGACAATAAGACAGTCAGACAGTCAGACAGTCAGACAGTCAGACAGTCAGACAGTCAGACAGTCAGACAGTCAGACAGTCAGACAGTCAGACAGTCAGACAGTCCGACAGGCGGACAGTCGGACAGCTGTCGGACAGTTGGACAGTCGAAATCATTAGCCATTCACTTGTACAGTTACACAGTCAGTAAGACACACAGTCTCTGAATCAAACGGTCAGTCAGTCAGGTAAGTAATTTGGTCAATCCTTAAGTTAATTTTATATTTCTTCTTTAAGACTACTTTCAGACAATCCCATTGAGACGATTGAACCAGAAGCATTTACTGTTGGTACCGAAAGTTTAAGAATGTAAGTAACAATTCCAAGAAAAACATGAATGATCGTTTTACTTTTACAAAAAATAACCCGTCGAGATACACTAGTTTACCTCAGCTACAAATAGCGCTCAGTACACCTGGCCATAGCTGTAAATGTCAAACGGTTTATATTTAAAAAATTTAGCAATGCAAGGGATGTCTTCACAGGAGATTTTACATGGCTATCTTTAAACTTGCTTTCTTTGATTTTCTTTCATATACTTGCAATATTTCTCTTTCGTAGATATTTACTCCGGACAAAACTGAAGATATTGAGCCTCGAGTCTTTCATCGGTCTCCGTGGTCTTGATTTACAAATGTAAAGTAGTCTAAAGTTTTACTCTCAGAGGCTCGCTCTCACTTTCTTGAGGGAGTTAGAGTGAGAGCAAGCCACTTCCGACCATTTGAGAATCAAACCTAACCAGTTTCTGATTTGATAGTCACTTTTATTTGAATAAAAATAAATGGAATCAAACAACACATACAAAAAGTTCTGAAGAAAACTGTCTTTGATACCACTGATGAAGAAACAGTAGTATTAGTGTCTAAGTTTTTCGTTGCCCACGTACATGGTATACATTAATTTAAACTTAATAAGTTGTAAAAATTTGACACTGATCCCACCAAGGATAGTCTAGAGCAAAGCCAGTTGTAAAAAAACATATGGTCTCTCAAATAGGCACCTTAAATTTTGAGAGAAGGAAGCTAATAAGGGTTAATTAGTGATACCGAATCCGCTTTTACTATTCTCTCTTAAATTCGTTCATCCGTTCGTTCATTCATTCATTTATTCATTCATTCATTCATACACACTTACACTTATTGGTTCGCTAGTACGTCCGTTCGTTTTTTTTTTTTGTTCCTTTTTTCGTTCGTTTGTTCGTTCGTTCGTTCATTCATTCCTTCTTTCTTTGTTTCTCTCTTTTTTCTTTCTTCCTCTCTTTCTCTCTTTCTTTCTTTTTTTCTTTCAGGGTTATAAAACATCGTACCCTGAGGACACTAAAATACGACTTTCAAGGTCTGAGACGCTGCACGATATATCTGTTAGTAATTTTAATGACATACGAAAACATTTCCTTTGACCACCTGTTCTGTATTTATGAAATAGAGGATGCAATCATCGAGCGTTGGAAAATATTTTACGAGTGAGTGCAGCGAATGATTGAGATATTTTTCGACGTGGGAAGAAAAATTTCGAATCTGCAAGCGACCATGTAGTTTTTAGTATTATATAAAATCCCCACATACATTAGCATACCAACAACAACGTTTACAACGATTTTCCGAAGATTTTCGACCACTTTCCCAAGATTTTCGATGATTCTTCAATCGTTGTTCGAACGCGAAACATTTTCTGAAAATTACCCAAGATTTACAAAGAATACCGAAGACCTCGATCCGAGGAAGATCCGAAGATGCTTCGATCATACACCTACAGATTTAAGTACAGCTAAAGGGTAAAAAGTGATATCAAAAATGATGCGTCACATGTGTGGATAAAAATAATATCGTCGCAAGTGGGTTAGCGTTTTTATCGACTTGCTAGCTACCACACGGTACACCACTAAATTCTAAATAATAAAGGAATTACTCCCTTTCCCTCCTAGAAATCCCGTGAATTCTATTGATGAAAGAATCAACGTCACTTGGAAGGAGAGCCCATTCTTAAAAGATGCTCTTGTGGCCGCTGGATTCAGCGGCAGACGCAACAGTGACAATTATTCTTATACATTTCTACCATGTCCCGTGGGAACATTTTCCAACTTTTCTTCCAAAGGAGCTGAAGGATGTATACAGTGCCCTCCGGGTATGTTAGAGGTGTCACCACTGCAAGAATGAACACTATTCATCCAAATGAGATGCTTTCTCGTTGTAATTGTTTCTTTGAAAATGATACTTCGTTGGCAGTTGACTACCCACGAGTCAAAAAGTGCAGTTTTGTATTCGTAACAAACATTTGGTTCCTGCAGGTATCGTCGTTTCTACTATTTTTGGCACGATTAAATAAGAGACAACTTCTCAAAAAAAATCAGATTCCGCCATTACATGTAGTTTTCACCTTCTTTCTTTGTAAAAGATTACGTTCAGGATGCACGATCTTTGGTCCTGGTGTGATATAAGGGTGATTCCCAGTTCTCAATTTCATTAAAGAATAGATGCTGTTTCTCTAGGAGGATTTTACTCCGATGATGTCGGTTACGTGGAAGAAAATTGCAAAAGATGTCCCAATGGTTCGTTCGTCCCATTTGATAAAACACCAGGAACGAGTTCTCAAGATTGCAAGTCCTGTCCATTAGGTAATAAAGAACTAGACCAGCATATTGTTTACAAGACTAATCTTATGTACCGACTGAATGTCTAAATACATATATGTATGAATGCATGAATGCATCATTGACTGACCGACTGACTGAGTGACTGACTCACTGACTGACTGACTGACTGACTGACTGACTGACTGACTGACTGACTGACTGACCGACTGACTTACGGACTGCGCGCACGGTGAATGAATGAATAATATTCACTTTTTTTTCTAATTCTCAATAGGAACGGAGACTGACTTCTTTGCCGGATATCGTGCCTGTCGATGCTTAAAAGGACTGTATCGAACAGATATGTTTGATAAATGTTACAAATGTGGACAAGGATTGAAATGCAAGGATGATTATGCTTCTTTGAAATCTGGTCACTGGTGGCAATGGCGAAATGAGACACATAAAGAACGTTACAGATTCTTTATTGCAAATATGTTGTCATCTTCACCAGCGTTAGATGCTTCCAGTGTAAAATATACTTATCCTATACCAACGCCTTACAAGTGCCCAGTTGAAGAATCTTGCAAAGGTGGCTTAGATTCTCCGTGTAAAACCGGGTACGAAGGTCCACTTTGTGCCGTATGCAGCTCAGGATACTATAAGCAGTTACAGATCTGTACACGATGCCCAACAAAGAAGTGGATTGCGGCACAGTTGTCGATAATTGCGACTATTTTGTTGACAGTTGCTGTAGTGGTGGTTTGGAAGAGCAAACAAAAAGATAAGAAAGCCGAAGAAATCCCCCTAATAGACAGGTTCTTCTCTAAACTTAAGATCATAATTGGCTTTTATCAGGTTACTTATGGCTTACTTGAGGTATTCTCGTACATAAAGTGGCCAGATTCCCTGGAGGTTATCGCCAAATATTCAGGAGTATTACAGCTGAACATACTTCAGATTGCGCCCATTCAATGCCTCTTTGAAGGACTGCAGGTCGATGCATTTGGAAGCTTATTTGCAATAATGGCCGTGAATTCTGTTGTCATCGGTATTTCTGCTGCTTCTTACGCAGTGTATAAAGCAATAATCTTAAAACGTCAAAACCTGGAGGATGAAGAGAAGTCAAGAAGACTTAAACAGACAAAAGAACTTGTGTACAGGTATTTATTCTTTTTCCTGTACGTGACGTACCTGAGCACGTGTTCCAAGACAGCCGCTGTCCTGCCCCTTGCTTGTCAAGAACTTTGCCGAGATGAAAATGAAGAGTTTTGTCGAAAATATCTGAAAGCAGATTACAGCACTCAATGCCAGGGTCTAAGCTACCACTATTTGCTCGTCGGGGCGTACATATCTACTGCTTACATCATTTCCCTTCCTGCTGCCTCGTTCATCGCCCTTTGGAGACAACGAAGGATAATAGTTTCCTTAAAGGACGCCGAATCATGCCGACGACCAGGTGATGGTATGGAAATGATCACAGGTTTGCGTTTTCTTTTCGAAAACTACAAACCTCGTTCGTGGTATTGGGAACTTGTTGAAATGTCTCGTAAAGTCATCCTTACATCCGCTCTGATTCTGGTGGGACAAGAGAGCAGATCTTACATTGGCTTAACACTGGTTATCGCCGGGATGTATGGCATGCTTTTCTCCTGGATCCGTCCCATGCAAGATGCGTTCGAGAACAGATTGATGTCCACATCTCTTGCCGTTACTATTGTCAACTTAGCTGTTGGAGCCGTGAGTAGAGTCCCAGCAGAGGACATACTAGTGTCAAGAGAAACTTACACAGACGCAGTGTTATTCAAGATATTGGTACTTGGAGCAAATGCTTCGGTGATTGGTCTACTTCTTGGTATGATAACACAACTAATTGTTTTTTTCTGTTTTGAAGCAAATCTTTTAGTTAATTAATGACTCCCTTGGAGTTTCTAAAGTTAACGGTTGACCACTTTGCAGATAATCGTTTTCTGATCTTTAAACCATTAGCTGGTCCACTATCAAATATTCCGTCAGCACTGATTGTACCAGAATTATCCCCTATCTATGCTTATCTAGTATAAAAAGACGAGTAGGACACTTCTTCAACTCTTGGAGTGAGCCTAACAAAGTCCTCATTCTGGTCTGTTCTTGGATGCTGTGATGGGGTGCTCTTCGAACTAAAATCATCCTTTTCTTCTCTGTCATTGGGCGTAAAGGGTCCCAAGTCTTCATCTTTTCCCTCCACCGTGGGCATGTGGTACCCAAGTTAAGGCAATCCCGAGATCGTCTTCAAACTCTCTACGCGTTATTGCAAGAGATTTGATCCTAAAAAACACCGTGCTTCCGTAAATATGAAACTGTTTTTCTTGTTTGTTTGTTTGCAGTTCAGTACATTACCGTACTGTATTGCTACCTTCGGGAATGGTGGAAAAATCCGCATTGCTCTTTTTCCTGCTGTCTGGCTTTGCTTTTGCCCCTCAATGATTTGCAAGGTGAAATTCACGGTTTAGCTGCAACTAATGTTCTTAACAACCAAATGCAGTCCGGACAAATGGATACACCAACCCTTATTGGTGCTGTGAAAGACAGTGGCGCTATCGATGTCTCTCTTGAAGAAGGTAAACAAGAAGATCACTCAACGTTTGCCGAGCAGGAGGAATATTGGCAAGACGCGGTGTACAACAAGAATCAAAGTCACAAAAAGACACAAACAGAGATGTATACGCTTTCTATTGCGGTCAAGGAAACACACTTTTGAATCTCTGTGAGTACAACACACATACGAAAACAAGACGAAATGTCATTACTAGGCTTACGTTGTTTGTAGACAATTTATTGACATATAATAAAATATTTCAAATGTCACAAACATTGAAATAGTTAAATGATACAGAATCAAATTTGCATCGATTTCTGACTTCCCAAACTGACATAGAAGTTCTTTAAAATCCAAGAATAGAGCAACGAACAGAGGAACGATCACGCAGAGGACTTTATTAAACTTCACACCCGAAAAAACTGCAGTGAAATCGTCAATGTATTTCATGCATGGGAAAATTGGTTGGAATTGAATTCCAGGATGAAATAGTACCCGTAAAACTGAAATAATGATACAGCGAAAGTGTATATAGATCTCATTCATATGCACATCGCGGCAAACGTTTACGTAGTAAACTAAAAAGCTAAAAAAATAGGTATAAGGTCTTCAATTTAAAATGTTTCTCTTCACTAAAAAATTA